GTGAATGCTTCTTCTTGTTATGATGGTGGTAGTTCCTGTCTTTGCTTACTTCAACACAGGAGAAACATCACTTGTGATTTGTTCCACTAACAGAACTACCTCTGTTCAGCAAGCTGCTCCCTAGGTATGTCACAGGATTTGGAGAGATTGAAGCACCAGCTCACAGGATGAGAGGTATTTGGACACAACACCACAAAAAAAATTGATTATGAAGTAGAAGGGATAACCATAGTAGCCTGAAGGAGAATAATGTTTTGGAACTAATGCCCAACAAACATTAATTGCCATGAAAAAAACTGGTGGTTCACTACACTGAACGGAAAACTTATATGACACAAATACATAACTAATGGCAAACATTGGCAATGTGTTTTCTAGTTAGTTTCAAAGTTTAATGAAATATTAAAGATCTCAAAGTGGAAGCATGCCAGAAGCTTCATTATTATTAATAAAATGTCATGACTTACAGGGTGTATTGCTTAGCATTGTAAAAAAAAATTCAGTTTTTTTTTTACAACTGATACAAAAGTCTCTTCTGCAAAGTCTATTTGTCTCTCCACTTATTTGAAAAACAGTTACATTAAAAGGGGATAAAACAGTATACTGAATTTTGTTTAGCTGATAACCTTTTATACCTGGATTATTATATGTTTATAAAAGATGCACTTGAGTGACCAGAACGAAAATATACACCTTATAAAAGCTGCAGATATACCTTATAAAAGGCGCTGGTGACTCACACCTATAATCCTAGCTACTTGGGAGGCTGAGATTGGGAGGATAATGGTTCCAGGCCAACTGAGGCAATAGTTCTTGAGACCCAATCTCCAAAATAACCAGAGCAAAATGAACTGGAGGTGAGGTGTGGCTCAAGCAGTAGAGTGCCTGCTTTCCAAGCACAAATCCCTGAATTCAAACCTCAGTGCCACCAAATCAAAACTGCAGTTTATTCACATAATTATAAATAGGAATTAGGAATGCAAATGAGGAAAAAATTAAAAAGTCAAACTTTATATCTCTACTGTGTAGAATATTTTTTCCTTATTACTTAAGAACTCCATACTTACCTGCTTCCCTGAAAGATGTAATGTGCTATGCATTTGTTATAGCTCTTAGTTGTCTTCCCCACAGCCACTTCCCTGCTCTTTCACTCAGCTCCAAAACAACTTTTCTTCCCTTTCTGAAGGAACCCAGTACACTCAAGTAATCAATCACCTTCATCAGCACATCCATGGCCTTGGTTAATCCAAATTCCCCACTGCTCCTTTTGGAAGAGCCAAGTGAGGGATTTTTAGCAGATGAAATATGAGGGCGAAGCTACCAACAGGCTTCTGGAAAGGGTTTTCTGGCTAATAACATGACAATACATGAAGAAGATGTTCTCTGTCATCTTTCCCTGAGCAGCAACCACCTCTGCTGACCGAGAACAAGTTACTATGGAGGAGGGGCCTCACTTAAGACTTCTCAGGTGAGATGAGTTTTCATTATAACCCAACTGACTCAGGATTTCCTGTTCATCATGGGCTCAAGACATCCTAACATTGTTGCAACACCTAGTTTGAAAAGTGTTTCTAGATAATTCATCTGAAGCAGCCCAACTCACCTTTAATTGATGAAATTTGGGACAACACATCTGTGACCATCCATAATGGTGCACTGCAAAATTTTTTTTAACTGCATTTTATTTTTTATTTTTTTTTCATTTTTCTTTTATTATTCATATGTGCATACAAGGCTTGGTTCATTTCTCCCCCCTGACCCCATCTCCCCTCCCTTACCACCCACTCCGCCCCCTCCCTCTCCCCCCCCCCAATACCCAGCAGAAACTATTTTGCCCTTATTTCTAATTTTGTTGTAGAGAGAGTATAAGCAATAATAGGAAGGAACAAGGGTTTTTGCTGGTTGAGATAAGGATAGCTATACAGGGCATTGACTCACATTGATTTCCTGTGCGTGGGTGTTACCTTCTAGGTTAATTCTTTTTGATCTAACCTTTTCTCTAGTACCTGTTCCCCTTTTCCTATTGGCCTCAGTTGCTTTAAGGTATCTGCTTTAGTTTCTCTGCGTTAAGGGCAACAAATGCTAGCTAGTTTTTTAGGTGTCTTACCTATCCTCACCCCTCCCTTGTGTGCTCTCGCTTTTATCATGTGCTCATAGTCCAATCCCCTTGTTGTGTTTGCCCTTGATCTAATGTCCACATATGAGGGAGAACATACGATTTTTGGTTTTTGAGCCAGGCTAACCTCACTCAGAATGATGTTCTCCAATTCCATCCATTTACCAGCGAATGATAACATTTCGTTCTTCTTCATGGCTGCATAAAATTCCATTGTGTATAGATACCACATTTTCTTAATCCATTCGTCAGTGTGGGGCATCTTGGCTGTTTCCATAACTTGGCTATTGTGAATAGTGCCGCAATAAACATGGATGTGCAGTATATCCCCAAGAGTGTTATTGCTGGATCAAATGGTAGATCGATGTCCAGCTTTTTAAGTAGCCTCCAAATTTTTTTCCAGAGTGGTTGTACTAGTCTACATTCCCACCAACAGTGTAAGAGGGTTCCTTTTTCCCCGCATCCTCGCCAACACCTGTTGGTGGTGGTGTTGCTGATGATGGCTATTCTAACAGGGTGAGGTGGAATCTTAGTGTGGTTTTAATTTGCATTTCCTTTATTGCTAGAGATGGTGAGCATTTTTTCATGTGTTTTCTGGCCATTTGAATTTCTTCTTTTGAGAAAGTTCTGTTTAGTTCACGTGCCCATTTCTTTATTGGTTCATTAGTTTGGGAGAATTTTTTTTTAAGTTCCCGTATATTCTGGTTATCAGTCCTTTGTCTGATGTATAATTGGCAAATATTTTCTCCCACTCTGTGGGTGTTCTCTTCAGTTTAGAGACCATTTCTTTTGATGAACAGAAGCTTTTTAGTTTTATGAGGTCCCATTTATCTATGCTATCTCTTAGTTGCTGTGCTGCTGGGGTTTCATTGAGAAAGTTCTTACCTATACCTACTAACTCCAGAGTATTTCCTACTCTTTCTTGTATCAACTTAGAGTTTGGGGTCTGATATTAAGATCCTTGATCCATTTTGAGTTAATCTTGGTATAGGTGATATACATGGATCTAGTTTCAGTTTTTTGCAGACTGCTAACCATTTTCCAGCAGTTTTTGTTGAAAGGCTGGCTATCTCATCGTATACTTCAGCGTCTGATTGTCAAAGATAAGTTGCTTATAGTTGTGTGGCTCAAATTATCTGGATCCTCTATTCTGTTCCACTGGTTTCAATGTCTGTTTTTGATCCAGTACCAATGCTGTTTTTATTGTTATTGCTTTGTATATATAGTTTGAAGTCAGGTATTGTGATACTCTGCTGTGTTCTTTTTGACTGAGTATTGGCCTTGGCTAATCCAATTGGCCTTTGTGTTGTCCCTATAAATTTAACAGTAGATTTTTTCAATCTCTTTAATGAATGTCTTTGAATTTTGATGGGAATGCATTAAACATGTAAGATTACTTTGGGGAGTTATTGACATTTTTACAGTTGATTTACACAATCCATGAGCAATGGGAGATCTCTCCACTTTCTATAGTCTTCCCTAATCTCTTTCTTCAGAAGTGTATATTTTCTTGTTAGAGGGTCCTTTCACATCTTTTGTTAGGTTTACACTTAGGGTATTTGGATTTTGTTTTGAGGCTATTGTAAATGGAAGTTGTTTTTCATACATTCTTTTTTGTTTGCTCATTGTTAGTGTATAGAAAATGCCTAATGATTTTTCTATGTTGAATTTTCTATCCTGCTACCTGCTATAGCTATTGAATTGAGTTAGAAGATTCTGAGTAGAGTTTTTTTGGCTTTAAGGTAATAGGATCCATGTCGTCTTGCAAATAGGGATATTTTTGACAGTTTCTTTACCTATTTGTATTCCTTTTATTCCTTCTTCTTGCCTAATTGCTCTGGCTAGGAATTTTCCAAGTACTATGTTGAAATAGGAGTGGAGATAGTGGGCACCCTTGTCTGTCCTGATTTTAGAGGAATGGTTTTATTTTTTCTCCATTAGTATAATGCTGGCTGTAGGTTTTGTCATTCACAGCCTTTTATAATGTGAGGGAATGGCTGTATTGTCTCAGTATTAACCTAGTTTTTCTGAGAGCTTTTCAGTCAATGAAATGATGTTGGAATTTATTCGAAAGGCTTTTTCTGCATCTATTGGAGATGATCAATGGTTTTTGTCTTTGCTGTCTGTTAATGTTTGGTTTTATGTACATTATTGATTTTCGTATTTGAACCACCCCTGCATCCCTGGGATGAAGCCTACTTCGTGGGTGAATAACTTTTGATGTGTTTCTGAATTCGGTTTGCCATTATTTGTTGAGGATTTTTGCATCAATGTTCATTAAGGAGATTGGCCTATAGTTCTCTTTTGGAGGTGTCTTTTGCCGGGTTTTGGGAAGAGTGTAATACTGGCTCATTAAATGTGTTTGGCAGTTTTCCTTCCCTTTCTATTTCGTGGAACAGTTTAAGGAGGGTTGGTATCAGTTTCTTCTTTAAAGGTCTGATAGAATTCAGGAGAGAATCCATCAGGTCTGGACTTTTCTTTTTGGGGAGACTCTTGATGCTGCTTCAATTTCATTTTGTGTTATAGGTCTATTCAGGTGATTAATTTCCTCTTGTTCAGTTTTGGATGATCATATGTATCTAGAAATCTGTCCATTTCTTTTAGATTTTCAAATTTATTTGAATATAGGTTCTCAAAGTAGTCTCTGATGATTTCCTGGACTTCCATGGTGTTTATTGTTATCTCCCCTTTTGCATTCCTAATTCTACTAATTTGGGGTTTTTTTCTCCTCATTTTAGTCAGGTTTGCCAGGGGTCTATCGATCTTGTTTATTTTTTCAAAGAACCAACTTTTTGTTTCATTAATTCTTTGTATGGTTTTTTTGGTTTCTATTTCGTTGATTTCAGCTCTTATTTTTATTATTTCTCTCCTTCTATTTGTTTTGGGATTTGCTTGTTCTTGTTTTTCTAGGAGTTTGAGATGTATCATTAGGTCATTGATTTGGGATTTTTAATTCTTAAAACCTGACTATCCCCTTAACTGATTCATGACATGGAGCTCTCCAGATACATACAAATCTTACCTGCACTGAATTTTACAAAACCCACCATTTCTTTGCCTCAATAAATGTTTATTTAGCACCTGCTACGTATAAGGCAGTGTGCTTGGCAGCATGAAGAAGATGCAAATGAACAATGTACAATTTTTTGCCTTTAACAAGCCTATAATACAGCACACGAAATTAGACATGTAAAGAAATAACCACCACACAAACAAGAAAGCAATAAATGCCAAAAGCAATAAATACCAATATATGGGATGAGAAGAAGAGAGGAACTCAGCAAAAGTAAGATTTGAATGGCAGATCAAACATAGATAGGAAGCAATTAAGAGGAAAAGGCAATCTGGGAAGACTAGAAACAGTAGGAGGAAGTGGCAAGGAGTCTAGCTGGGCTGGAATAAGTATAGCAGATAAAACAACACAGAGAAAAAACACTGGAAAGGCATGCTGGGATTGATTGAAAGTGGTTGTGTGCCAGGCAAAAATATTTCTATTATAATGGAAATAATGATCTGACGAGTTTTGTAAAGCTTAACCTGGTGACAATGGAAGGCGACTACAGGAGAGACTGAGGGAATGAGGCCAGTTTGGAAAAGATGACAAGAGAATGAAAAAGTGACAATGAGAATGAAGCAGTTACAGGTGTAGATGGAGACAGAATTGAGAATAATTAGAAATGACAAACTATGAAAAAAGAAGTGAAGATAAGATAGATGAAAAGATGATGGCAGTTTTATATATAGGGACAGAATGATCCAGTCACAGAGCCAGAAAAATTTGAAGAGGCAAAGTTTGCATTTGTATAGAGAGAGGAAGGAAAAGGTAAGCTTAAGATGCTCAAAGACACCTGGGGCTAGGGGCATGAGGACCCAGAAGGCAGGTACAAGTTGTTGTTCACCAGGGCAGTGGCCAGAGCAGGAAACAGACTGGAAAACCATCCAGAAAATGGCAATAGTTGAAGCAATGGAATAGTGGAGATGGCTCCACCACAGAAGAGAGGTCTAAAGTATATCATGATTTTTCTTAAACATGCAATTCTCATAGAAAATTCCTAGGTATGATACATCATACGAAAAGTGCTATATCTCTACCTTCATTCCTAAGAAACTGCCTCTTCAGTTTTATGATTATGAGCATAAAAGGTGCCTCTATTGTGGAAGGCCATTATGAAAAAATTTGTGGAAGGCCATTATGAAAAATTTGCTTCAATAAGATTTTTTAAAGTTTTTATCATTCCTTTTGAGGAGTTTTTTTTGTAATAAAATTGTTTTGCTGAGATTCAGAACAGATACTGACATACCTTTCCTCAGTACACCTAAGAGTCAGAAGGGACCTAGGAAGAGATCTAGGAGGCCATCAACATCTCTCTTCTTTCTCAGATGAGGAAAACAAAGCCCTAATAGGTCACGGGATTTGCCCAGCATCGTACACAAGAGGGATGGCACAAATGGACCCATGGCAAGAACAGAGTACTCTTCTTTCTTTCGTAGCTATTTCCCAGCTTACCTAGCTACTGGCTAGATACATGGACAGGAAGAGAAATATAAAGACAAATGATTGATGATAGATAGATACCTAGATAGACAGACAGATAAGTAGGTAGATAACTATAAGTAAGAGTGGTTGGCAATAATATGTCTATACTTTAACTTTTTAAGTTGGGGAAAAAGGAGAAAATAGATATTTTTTGGACTCATCCAGAGCCTTACAAACCTTAAGAGAAAATGACTTTGGCTTTCTTAAAACACTAAATTTCACTTAGTCAAAAAAATTAATAATATTATGATACATTCTAGTCAATAAGCTTTATATTCTGCCACAACAGAAATTATGGCACTTTTTGTTGGCATGGAAAGGTAGTTTGCAGGAAATAGTATCAGTAAGAATCAGGCCTTATTTTTATTGTTATTGTTGTTGTTGCCAGGGTGGGAATGTTTATATGGTTTTGTGGTGCTAGGGATTAAACCCAAGGCATTATGCATGCTAAGCAAGTGCTCTACTACTGAGCCACATCCCAACCCACAGACTTCAGACTGTTTTATCCATCACAGAAGCAAAGTACCCATGGTACATCCCTTTTGGAAAATTAAAGATTTCCATACAATGAAGTTCTAAATACATCCATTTCATACAAGATGCAGAAAAAAAAAAAGAAGACTGTAACATTTCAAATTTTTAAGTCAGAAATATACAGGCGGATTTCTGAGCCTGTGCCACAATAAACCAGCTTGAGGACCTCAATATTTCCCCCAAATCTGGAAATATGTATCCTACCAACTTTATAATTGATGATTCCCTTAAAGATTGTTTCAATAACTTCCCCCAGACCCACTAGCCTTCCAGCAATACATTTCAGCAGGCACTATCAGATTTTCCAAAAGATCTTCTTTCTGTAAAGAATGTAGGCAATGAGCACCCAGAGAGCAGTGGCAACAATGTTCTGAGTCAGATGCTCTTTGTGTGACTGGTTATCCTCCAGCTTCCACTGAAAGGGAAAGTAGTTCTCAAACACCTCGTGGCCAACATACACCAGAATAGAATTCATTCCTTAAGGAGAGACAAAGAACATATTTTTTCCTGAGAAACACTGGATCATCCATTTAATTTTTAAAATCAGTTCAGTGAAAAAACAAAAAGCATGTACTTATATTATTAGATACTGCCAAAAGATAAGTGATATATATCTTAGATATTTAAGTATAAACTGTATTTTTAAATTATTAGGAAATATTCGTTTTATAATGATTTTTTTCACAGTGCTGGGGATCAAATCCAGAGCTTTGTGTGTACTAAGTACAAGCTCTACCCCAGCCCAAAAATAACCCCTTAAATACAAAATCAGAAAGAAAATTACAACTTTAACTTGTACTTCTTAGACAGAAAACTGGAGGTCAAAAGAATGCAACCATTACTAGAATAAAAGACCTAAAATAAGACACTAAAAGGACCTAGTCTAGCTTTAGGTCCTTTATAACTGCATCTAAATTATTCTATTTATCCCTTGATATGATCTTTTTATATTTCTTATAATGCCTAAACTTTAAGGTAGTACATTTGTATAAAGGAAGCAGAGTACAATTTCTTAACTTACGAACATTAAAAATTGGATAATATACCCTACCTCTTCTCTGATATTCTACAAGTTGGTACTACCTGAAGAGGTAAGTGGAGCTGACTGTCATACAATGAATGACTCTAGAACCTAAATGGATAAAAATGGGTGGACTGCTTCAGAAGAGGCCAGTGACATCCTATGTGACCTGAGACAACACGGTCCCTGCTAATTTTTTCCTCAGTTTGTTTCCTGGAAAGAACACCAGCACAGTGGTGCAAAGCTGCAGTGCTGAGGAAGTTTAATAGGTCTCTGGGCATTTGACCTCCTTAACCAACTTTGTATGAGTTAGAGATGACTTACCTGGGTAAAAAAACGGAGCTCCTGTCCACAGTCTCTTCACATCGACAACTGGGTAGAGAACCAGCAGTATGAGGAAGGCAAATGAGCTCAGCGTGGTGACATAGGAAATGGACCTGTGAGGAGTGGAGTGAAGAGGGGTGGCAGGATCGTGAAGAACACAGCCAGCTTCAACATTAACATGACACTGTTTTTGTATGCTTACCAGAGATTTTTATTTATTGGAATAAAGCCTTCATTTGTAGAAACTTTCGTCAAAGCAATAGAAATGAGACCCTATAATGGGGAAGGGAGGGTGTTAAAGATTTTTATTATAATCTCAAAATACTATTGTGTTTCAAAACTAAGTTAATTTAATTTCTTAATGAAGCTTGAAAATTGTGCCTTATAGTCTACTCTTTTAACTGGAAACAGATTTTAAGATGGATAACCAAAACATGCTCTCCAAAAATATATTTTCAGTATTTCTGTGAGTTGAAGAAGATAAATTAATTCACAAATTACAGTGACTTCTAAAAGAAAACATGATTGCAAGGTTAGGGATAAAATGAATAGTCAGTCAAGCTCACACTCATTTTTTTATGGAAATCTGAAGTTGATGATTAAAAACTGTTGTTATTTGTCTAGTCTTTCTAATTAAAAAATCTCCATGCAGAATCCATATGTCATACATTTCTTCAGACATTCTTCATTCCAGTGTTTGATTGCAAACATCCCAGTGTTTAATTGCAAATGCTGTCTTATTTATAAACACATTTTTCTAAGAGGAAGATAAAGCTAAGAATTTAGGTGTAAAGGTTTTTTCTTTCTTGGGTCAACAGTACAATGAGTGCTTGGCATGCATGAGGCCCTGGGTGAAAAGACTTGTTCCTCTCTGTTATTCAAGTGAAGAATGCTCCCTGTCACAAGGTGGTAACAGCTGCTATATCAGTGTTGGTAAGCACTTTGTTTCTTCTTATATATACATGAGTGTGAAGAAAAGCAGTGCTACTGAGGAGTATCTGTTACTTACTAGAATACAACACCAGGCAGCAAATCTAATGAGGATGACTTTGGTTTGATCCTTGTAATACAGTAGTATTTTTCCTGCCTGGAGAAGAAAAATTATGATCAAGAGAATTGCCTAAGATACTTTCTTATTTCAAATTCATCCATCATCTTAATCACTCCACAAATAGATTCATTTGCTAGTTACACTTTCAAGATATTGGGAGTATGAGAAGAAATGAAACCTTGATTAGTAGAGACTGAGAGGAACATGGGACCAACAAGATAGAGCCTTCACTCAGAGAAGAAGGGACATGTCAGAGAGTAGTGCTGCTGTACTGAGACTACAAGCGTGAAATGGCCAAAGCAGGAAGGGCATTCTGAACAGAATGGAACATCATGCACAAAAGCATGTCAAAGACTGGAAAGCACCACAGCATCTCTGAGGGGCTACAGAAGCCAGAGCGCTGGAAGGTGACAAAAAGGTGGTAGGCAGGTAGGTTCAGAAGGCATCACATCATAGGGGGCTTTCTTCCAGAAGTGATGGAGAGCCAAGGGAAGTTTACCCCGTGGAAACTGGATCGTGCCTGCTAGATCTCAGTCTAGCAGCATTACAGAAGAGATATGGAGACAGAATGGAACTGTAGGCAGGGAAACACCTTAAAACACTAGAACAGGATATCTCATGAAATCCCTCTGGAATTAGGGATTAATGTTTGAAAACTTAAAAGGAGAAAATGTTAATAATAATTTATAATAATGGCTAAAATTTACAAATGTTTTCTGTGTGCCAGTACTAAAAACTTTACAGGAATTAATTTACTTAATCCTCATAATACCTCTATGAAGTAGGTGCTAATGAGGCACAGAGAAGTCAAGTAACATGCCTGAAGTCACCCAGCTAGTAAGTGGCATAGCTACATTCAAACTTAGGTGGTACAGGTCCAGGACTTACTCTTAACATCTACTCTCAACTGACTGCTCCAGTAGGAAGAGGTTTACCTCAACATGTAGAGAATAGATGAATATATGTAAAAGCAGAATATAAGATATCAAGTGCTATAAAGGCAAGATTTTTAATTATAAGATTATTTAATCACCAAAATGTATACGATTTAGATCCGCACTACCCATTGGGAGACACTAGGCACATGTGACTATTTAAAATTTAAATCAAGTAAAGTTAAAAATTCAATTTCTCAATCATAGTATAGCCACATTCATGTACTCAATCACTATCCTGCCTAGTGCCTTCCCTAATGGACAGAACAAATAAAGAATAATCTCATCATTTGAAAGTTCTATTAGTACTACATACAAAGTCTTACCCCCTCTCAGTTTGCTCCCCTTAAACAATAGTTTCAAATACCAATAAAGAGAACTTTAGGAAGAAAAGTCTAGACTACTTCAAAAATTTAACATAATTTCCTTTAAGATCAACCAGGATTGTTACTGACTTTGGTTTAAAACATGCAAACTCTGAAGCCACAGTGTTGGTGAGTCCCTCCAAAATTCTATGTTGAAACCAAGTCATTAAAGTGATGATATCAGAAGGAACAGCCTCTAGGACATGACTAAATCTAAGGGCTCTGCCCTCATGAGTGTATTTTAAGCCCTTTTAAAGGGCTTGAGACAGCAAGTCCAACATCTTTGCCCTTACACTTTCTACCATGTGAAGACACAGTATTCATCCCTGCCATTCAAGGCACCATCTTGGAAGCAAAGACAAGAACCTCACCAGACAACAAAATTGCCACCATCTTATCTGGGACTTCCCAGCCTCCAGACTGTGAGAAATAAGTTTCTGCTTTTATAAATAACCCAGTCTCAGGTATTTTGTTATAGCAGCACAAATATACTAAGACAAGTGTACATGAAAGAAATGGGACAAGTGACATGGCAATTTCTCAAAGTTACCAATACAGAAACACTCTGAAAACTCCAGCAGGAAAAACTTTTTTGTCTTTGTTGGTTTATTCGTTTGTCTGTTGTTTGAGACAGTGTCTCTAGAAACAAGCTAGCCTTAAACTCAAGAATCTCCAACCTCAGCCTCCCAAATGCATGGAATACAGGCATGTACCACCACACCCAACTGATAAAAATATTTATTTACACACTGCTGGGTTATGGTAAGTCACATTACTGATAGAATTTTTGTAGAACATAAGAATTGCACTTAATTATTTGAATGTGCTAAATTTTAACAATTTATAGTTTTGCACAATTTGTCTAACCTAAACAGAATTTATTAGACCTGTAGCACAGTAAGGGATATATTTCTGATGATTTTGATGAAACAGTTTTTTAATTTGTGATGAAGCAATACTCATAAACTGTCAAAAATGTATTCAGATAAAATGAACAAATACCTGAACTCCTAAAAATGCCATCACAATGGAGTTGATTGTCCCTAAGATTCCTTCTGGATCGTATGCCACCTCAGTGTGATATAGCACCTTAAAACAAAACAAGAAGGCAGCAGTCACTCACTGACCACAAAAATGAACACAAACAACTCTCAGACTGAATACAAACTTTTATACATTCTAGTAACCAATGTTTTTGGATTTCTGTATTTGTTGTTATTTTGTTTTATATTTTGCTTTTGCTGCAGAAATTCATTGCCAACTTAAGAGGATTATGGGCAAAATACTTCTGGTCATGGAAGGATGCAGTATGTGCAGGGAATGCAAAGCCTCAGGGATATGCCATGGTCTAGCAGCAGCCACTTCAACTTCAGCTAGCTTATTAGCAAACAAGCCTAACTAATTTCAAATACAATGCATACCTTTGTAATTTTTCAGACTTGTTCTGCTTTGGTCAACCCTATTGTGAAGCTTCTTATTTTCTTTTCAAGCAAATAACATTTAATAATACACTTGGAATGGGGTAAAGCACAGTGGAACAGCACATGCTTAGCACGCACAAGGTCCATGGTTCAGGACTGAAGGTGTGGCTCAAGCAGTAGAGTGCCTGCTTTATAAGCACAAAGTCGAGTCCCACAAAAAAAAAAAAAAGAAAAAAACACATGGTTCAATACTCAACATCTAAAAAAATTAAATAAAATAGATTTTAAAAATACATTTGAATTTTTTATTACAAAATAAATGCTAAAATTGCAGAAGTTTGGAAATGTACCGTACCATAGATACTGTAATGCACCATGCAAATTCCCCTATCCTTTCAGGACTGAAGCATCAGTTCCCACAAATGCAAGAAATATTAATTACCAAAAGCTCACAGCAACATACCTCTTCTGAACTATCCAGAACTAAAGAGAATTGCCAGGCTGGGGTGAGTGGCTTAGCAATCCTTCACCCCAATGTAAAGCAGCCTTGAAGTACCACTCCAACTCCCCATGAGATTAGCAGGGGCCTCTGATGGGACTACAATGCAGTTCAATTTCTGCCTCTTCCCAGTTCTGCTTCCCTCATTCCCCAACAAAGACTGATCAGCAAGGACTCCCTTCTATGTGTATTGCTTGTGAATCTCTGTCTCAAGAGTCCATGGATGGCTGGTGGAGTGGCTCAAGGGGTAGAGTACCTGCCTAGCAAGTGTGAAGCCCTGAGTTCAAACCCCGGTACTACCAAAACAAAACAAAAGAAAGAGCCCACTACCTGGACACTCACCTGACACATACAGAAAAGCTCTATAGAAAAGTATTAAAATGCTGCCCATTTTATATATGCATTCTCACTTTATAATCCAAAGTAATTTTCACCTACATGATACACACTAAAATCATTAAGTTAGACTTTTCAAAGAAAATTATTTCTCATCACATTTTACTAAATGGACATAGTTTAAAGATGGCCAGTTTTTCCTATTTTCCCCATGTCAGAGACCCGAAGTTTTCAGTTAAAAGTAAAAACCAATCTCACACACAGTGGAAGATGGATGTTGGTAAAGGTGGTCATCTCCCAGAAGCAAGCGGTCAATGTAGCCAGCAGCTCCTCCAGTACAATTTGGATATTTCCCCAAGTCTCCAATGCACCAGGACCAAGATACCCACTAAAAAAGTGGAAAACATATTTAAATGACAAAGTGATAGAGTTTTACGAGGGCTATTCATATAGCCCACTTCAAAGAGCCTCAAATATATACAACCTAAAACTTCCCTCTGACTCCATGTGCTCTCATCAGTGCTCTTTTGACTTGAATACTCCCTTGACTGGTAAGCCAATTTCTACTTAGACTGACCCTAGACAACACCAAACTTCTCTTCCAATGCAAAGTATACCTCAAAGGAGATGAATTATACAGAATTCTTCTTGACTTGAGAAATTTGTAAAATGTAAGCTCAGAACCTCTGACTTGGCAGAAATGGACATGCAAAAAGGGATTATCTGTCAAGGGTTCACTTACGTAGGGCACCCAGGAATGGGTAATAAGAAGGTTAAGACCAGCCAAACACTTTCCAGCATCAGAATGAAGAGCCACTGGGGCCAGCTGGAAGTGATGTCTTGAAAAGAAGGGCAGCTTCTCTCCTGAGTGAGGGGCAGGAAAAGAATATATATGAACTAAATACAAAGAGAATGGGACTTAAACATAGTATATGTATTTGGGGAATGCCCAATGATTATTTTTCTTGGTCTTTATAGTAGTAATACAAAAAAATTATGCATATATGATGTTGCCTGAGCTCTCTTTTTACAGACTATTGCAGCAAAATATTACTTAAAAAGAAATCAGCGGCTAGAGGTATAACTCAGTGACAGAGCATATGTCTATCATATGTATGTCCCTGGGTTCAATCCCCAGTACCACAACCAAAAAAAAAAATAAAATAAAAATCACTCAATGAATGGGGCAAAAAACAATGTATTTGATTAAAATACATTACATTCAGAACTAAAAAAAAAAATCTGTTAACTATATAGTAAAGTTTTTCTGTCTTTTTTACAAACATGATTTCTTACCAATGTGCAATTTTCAGGCACAGGGTTAGAAAAGAGAAGCTCCAATGCAGCAACAACAAAGTAAGTCACCCCCAACCGCTGCAAAACACCAGGAATTCGCACCTTATCCCAAGACACTGCAGAAAATACAAGTTAGGTAAGGCATTAGCCAACACCTTGCATCTCATCAAAAGGCAATCATTTTTTTTCTGAAGGGGAAAACATATCTATATTATATGCAAGTTTTTCCAAGAAATGGAAATACAAATGGACTCAAACTCAAATTCCAAAAATGGGCCAATCCTACTCAATAAAAGGATGGTCAGGGACATGGTTTAAACTCAAAAAAGGACATTTTAAGAGACTAAAAGTGAAAAGTGTGTAGGAATAAAGCAAGGACTACCTTGACCCTGAATTCCATTCCCTGGCCCTTTCCCATTAGAAATGTAGATTCAACTATGTCCACCATGAAAATGTAAACCCCACACAAGTCACACTGCATCACTGGGAGACTATAATCCTATAAAAAACTCTATCATGAATCCTACTAGGATAATGGCTTACTTTTTGGAACTCCACCAAACCCAGTTTTATGTGACACCAAGTAACTTCTCTCCTCTCAGTGCCTATAGTCTTTCAGATAATATGTTTTGCCTAAGGGGTTGGTATGGCTACCATCTGGACTTGGTTGTGCTACAAATTTGTGCCCTCTTTGCCAATGATAGAGTAAACCCCTTGAACAAAGTAACTACCACCTTCCTTTATTCTGATGCTGGCACAATGTATGGAGCTTACATCCTTCCCTTGGCTGTCCTGTCTCACTGCACACCACTAAAGTAATGATAAAGACACCATCCTTCCCAGCAACCCAGCTGGCATATAGGTGATGACAAAAGTGGATTCTTAAACAGCCAACACTGAAACTCAATGAAACCAAAATTGGAGAATAGCAAGATGACCTGGTCTGGTCTCTACTCTGTCCCTCAATACATGACCAAAAGAAAACTCCTCAGTCTCTCTTGGTCTCAAACTTTTCTTACATATAACCAAGAGTCTGCATAGCTACAGAAGCTCCTCCTAGGTCTAAAATTCCAAGCTAATAATAATAGTCTTAAACAAGCACTGCAAACACTTTTCTAATAATTATTCTTTTGGCAGGTACCTAAGATTGAGGAATTACATTTCTTTCAAATTATAATATGTGGGGCTGAGGATGTAGGTCAGAGTTAGAGAGTTTGCCCAGCATGTGCAAGGTCCTAGGTTTCTTTCCTAACAACTCAAAAATATTTTTTATACATACGCACAATATTTTTGAGATTTCAGCCTATGTATTAACAGAAGAGAAAAATACTTACATGGACCAAGGCAATAATTGGGGTTCACAATAACAACTCCTATACAGATTAACAGGAAACTCCTCCATGCAATTTTCCCCAGCAATTTGAATTTTGAACATCCCTGCTGCAGTATAGAAGTCATTGATAGAAAAATCGAAGTTCCCATAATAAATACAAACCTAAAAAAAAAAAGCTATTAATAGGGGCCACTACCAATACATTGTCTATCTTTAATATTTTATAATATACTACATAAGAAAGGCCATACATTATCAGTTCAAAGTAGCCAATTATTAAAATAACATCAGGTAATAATAGAGGAAGGGACTGGCTCATAACCTTATAGGGCCATGACAGTTTTCAAGTCCTGTCTTAGGAGAAAAATTGTTAGTATTAAATGGAATTTCCAAGGACAGCCCTCCAAAGTAGCTGTCAGAGATATTACAATGAAAATGTTACAATTCAAATAACTAGTTTCTCACTAGCTTGCCTGCAAAGTTATTGAGAAATGAAACACTTCAATCATTTCTAAACTCACTCCTACTTCCAAAAAGAAAACTAAAGGTTCATTTTTTCTATCCATTTAGTCTGAGTCACATGTTTTTCCTTTTTTGCCATACAAAATTCTCTCCTTAAAAGGAAAAAAAATGCAGGGCATGGTGGTACACACCAGTAAGTCCCAACTACTTGGGAGGTGAAAATCAGAAGGATCACAGTTTGAGGACAGCCAGAACCCCCAAAAAAGTTAGCAAGACCCATCTTAAGCAACAAGTTGGATGTGGTGGCACATAGCTGTGATCCCTGCTACAGAAAGGCAAAGTAGGAGGATCACAGTCTGAGGCTGGACCTGAACAAAAAACATGAGACCCTATGCAAAAAAAATAAGAAAGCAAAAAAGGTCAGGGCTCATCTGATTTTTGGCAAAATTGCCCAAAATATGTGTTGGAGAAGGCAGCCTCTTCAACAAATAGTGCTGGGAAAACTGGATTTCCACCAGGAGAAGACTGAAACTAGATCCCAGTCTCTCACCTTGTACTGGCATCAATTCAAAACAAATTAAAGACATTTTTAAGATCTGAAACAGTGAAGTTAATCCAGAAAAAAATAGGTAATATGTATGTGGTATTACCACATGCGAATAGGTAATAACTTTATGAATGAAACTCCAATAGCTCAGCAAATAAAGGAATGTGTTGACAAACAGACTGCATGAAACTAAAAAGCCTCTGCACAGCAAAGGAAATGGTCACCAGACTGAAAAGGCAGTCTACAGAATGGGAGAAAATCTTTGCCAGCTACACATCTGACAAGGAATTAATAACCAGAATATACAGGGAGCTCACATAGCTAACCTCTCAAAAATCGACAACTCACTGAATAAATGAGCAAATGACCCAAACATAATTCTCAAAAGAAGCAAAATGGCCAATAAACATATGAAGAAATGCTGACCATTCCTGGCCATAAAGGAAATGCAAATCAAAACTATACTGAGATTCCACCTCACCCCACTCAAGTAGTTATCAGCAATAACACAAACAACAACAAATGTTGGAGAGGATGTAGGGGAAAAGGAACACTTCCACACTGTTGGTGGGAATGTAAATTAGTGCAACAACTATGGAAAGCAATCTGGAGAGCACTCAAAAAAACTACAAATAGAACTACCATATGACTGTAGGCATGTATCAGACAGAATGTACATAAGGATATGATAGAGCAACTCACACACCCATGTTTATTGCAGCACTATTTATAATAACCAAGCTTTAGAAGCAGCCCAGATTCCCTTCCACTGATGAATGAATTAAGAAAATGTGGTATATGTATACTATGGAGTTTATTCAGCCATGAAGAAGATTGCAATTATGTTGTCTGCAGGTAAATGGATGGAACTGAGAACTTCTTGTTAAGTGAGGTAAGCCAGGCTTAAAAAATCAAAGGCCACATGGTTTCTCTCATATGTGGAAGCTAGACTTATAAGTTAAATGTATATATAGAAACACATATGACCATACATAGACATACATGTGAGAGAAAGAACAAAATTGAGACCAAGAACAAAATTGTATTAGTGAGTTTGTCTGAGGGGGTTATGGGAGGTGGGAGAGATAAAGAAAATGTTAGAGAATGAAAAATATTGGAACAGCCCATCATATATGAAAATAATATAATGCACTGTGCAGTAAACTATTGAATATTAGGGAGTATGGTGAGTAAGTAATGGGGGATGAAGAAGGAAGTTAATTGATTAAAGCATGATATATACAGACCTGAACTGCCAAGATGCAACACCCTTGGACTATCAATATACACTTAATTTTAAAAACTGAAGGGTCAGGCACTGGTGACACATACCTGCAATCCTAGCTACTCAAGAGGCAGAGATCAGGATGATCACAGTTTGAAGCCAGCCCAGGCAAAATAGTTCATGAGACCCTATTTTGAAAAAAAATCACAAATAAAGGGCTAGTGGAATGGCTGTAGGTGTAGGCCCTGAGTTCAAACCCCAAAACCACAAAAAAGGACCGGGAGGAAAAATAAATCTTCTGTGGGGGTGGATACCAGTGGGGAATCAGTGAGCACAAAGAATGAGAGCATATATTGTAGATGTATGTTTTGTAACCAGCTATGAAAATAGAAGAATGAAACTTGTTGAAATTGTTCTAAATAATCCAACTAAGATATATTTTAAACACATATGTAAATATCACAATGTATCCCCCTGTACAACTATTATATGCTAATAAAATCTTTTTTTAAGTCATTGCTTAAGTGGTAGAGCACCTGCCTAGGAAGCATGAGGCACTGAGTTACTGATTCAGACCACAGTAAAACACACACACCCAAAATTACAAATCATATGTATAGAAGAAGGAAGAGGAGGAGGAGGAAAAGAGGTCTAAATTAAAGATATAGATAACATTTCAATAAAATAATAGCAGAAAACTCCCTCAATCTTCAGGAGGGTGATCCAATACAGGAGGTTTTCAAACACCAAACAGGCAAGATGAGAAAAGAAACCCCTAGACATATTATAGCTAGACACTAAATATTCAGAAGAAGTAGTACTGAAAGCTGCAACAGATAAGCAGCAAGTCATATATAAAACCAAACCTATACAATATCAGCAGATTTTTTCAACAGGAAAATATGAGGGCATGCAATGGTGTATTCCAAGCCCTGAAAGAAAATAGTTGTTAACCTAGATTAAAGTATCTAGGAAAGCTATCCTTCATAATGAAGTAGAAATAAAGACCTTTCATGATTAAAAAAATTAAAGGAATTTATGACTACTAAACGCAGCACTGCAGGAGATACTATAAAGGAATCCTAAGCACAGAAGAGGAGGACAAACATAACCAGAAAACACAGGAAAGAATAATCCCACCAGACAAGTAGATTAGCAAATGAGAATTAGAGAAGAGCAAACATCAAAAAACAACAAAATGATAGGAACTACTGCACACTATGGTCTCAGTTCTACATCAAAAGACAGAATAGAGCTGGGCACCAGTGACTCACATCTGTAATCCTAGCTACTTGGGAGGCTCTGAAATTAGGAGAATTATAGTTTGAAGCCAGCCTGGGCAAACAGACCCCATCTCCAAAAGTAACCAGAACAAAATGTACCAGATGATGGCTCAAGCAGTCAAGAAGTGCCAGTTTTGCAAGTTCAAAGCCCTGAGTTCAAACCCAGTCCACACCGGCCCCCCAAAAAAGACAGAAAAAAAGAAATAGAAGGGCAGGTTAGATTTAAAAAACAAAACCTGACCTGTTGTTGCATACAAGAAATGCATCTCACTAACAAACACAAACAATGGTTAGAGTGAAAGAAAGGAAAAACATTTTCCAAGCAAATAAATCCCAAAAGCAAGCAAAAATAACTATATTCATATTTTACAAAACAGACTTCAAACAAAAATTAGTTCAAACACACAAAGAAGGTCACTTCATATTTAAAAAGGGAACAATCCACTAAAAGGAAATAACAAATGTTGACAGATATGCTCCGAATGCCAGTGCACCCAATTTCATAAACACTACTGAACAGAGAAGCACAGATAGACCCAACAAATAATAATGTGATATTTCAATACCCTACTCTCACCAGTTGATAAGTCATCCAGACAAAAGAATCAAAAAAGAAATTTTCAGAATTAAATGACACTATACAGCAAATGGACTTAACAGACATTTACATAATATTCCATCCAGCATTTTCATGATACACGTTTTTCTTCTGGAATTTTCTCCAAATAGATCACATTTTAGGACATAAAGCAAGTCTTAACAAACACAAGAACATTTAAATAATTCTTTGTGTTCTATGAGACATCAAAGGAATAAAATTAGGAATTCAAAGAAAAGAGACAAACAAAATATTCAAACACATGGAGACTAAACAATTCACTGTTGAATGACCAGGTATCATCAAAGAAATAAGGGAGAGAAAAGAAAAACATTCCTAGAAGCTAATGAAAATAAAACACAACATACCAGAAACTTTAGGATATAGGAAAGGCAGAGGTAAGAGGAAAGTTATTGTTATGAGCACCTGTATCCAAAAACAGAGGAATCTCAAATAAATTACCTAAAGATGCAACCCATGCTCCTAAAGGTGGGGGGCGGGGGACACAAGAAGAAACCAAACCCAAAATTAGTAGATGAAAAAACAATAATAAATATTAGGTTCTGCCTTAGTCTCCATTAATGAAATAGACACTTTAAAAGAAAAACAAAAAATTATGAAACAAAAAGTTGGTTCTTTGAAAAGATAAACAAGACTGATAAATCCTTAGTCAAATAACCAAATGAAGGAAGACCCAAATTAATAAAATTAGAGTGAAAAGGGGGATGTCACAACAAATAGCAATGAAATCCAGAATATCACGAGGAAATACTTCAAAACTTATATTCTAATTAGCTGGAAAATCTACAAGAAATGGACACAGTCAGTTCTAGATTTATTTTAACTACAAAAATTGAACCAAGAGGATAAAAATCACTTAAAACAGATCTATAACATACTTATTCTATCTTATTGCTATAAGAGTCAATTAATACTAAAAAATCAACTGAGAAAGAAGAACATAGGACTGGATGGATTCACTGCCAAATTCAGCCAGACCTTTAAGAAGAACTAACACCAATATTCCCCAAATTATTCCATGAAATA